CCTGGACTATATTGAATAATTTCTATTCTTAGAATGAGCCCCAGAAGGAGGAACTGACAAAGGAAGAGACGGCTGTTGCCAAACATATCCGATTTAACCTATCTACCAAGAAGACCACCATTATGGGCCAACAAGGAGAATATTTTACCGGTAAGTTGTACTTATTAATTTTATTTGTATTTATACGATATGACAAGGACTGTGAGGTCAGCCTGACTGCATTATGTCCTCTGAAACTGGTACAATTCTTCCATATAAGGATATTGCTTGATTGGCAAGTAGGTAGAATGTAACGATTTATCTGATTGGACGCTTGATGCTCGGCAAAACACTACACACCTGGTTATTGTGTCACTGCAAATTATTCATGAAGATACTTGAATATCTTTGTAAAAACCTGACTGACTGATTTAATTACTTTGTTTGTGAAACCCTGAACTGGGAGAATTACTGGAACTTTTTTTCTATGAAATTTTTTATTGAATCATACTTATCATGTTGAATGCTGATAATTCTTGTCCTTTTTTGCAGCTGCTAAAGCTGTGGATATGCTGTTGGACTCAAAATGGGCCAGCGGAAAAACCAATGAAACAGAGTTATTTACCACAAGGCAGACCGTTGTAGATTACCTCGATGGGTGAGTTGATACCTGGGATTTATTTATTTATTTATTTCCGTGATGAAATTATGAAAAATTAATGTTATTGCAGGTTTAAAGTACCATGGCAGGCAACCAAATCAGTAATCTTTTTTATTTAGTTTCTTTGTGGTGTATTTACTGTTCTTGTATTTTGACTTTTCATGGACAAAACTCCACTTATTATCATAATTGTGGCATAAAACCATTGCCAATGTGGAGATATAAAGCAATGACTATTTGACCAGGACTTGATGTGAAGGGTTTACAACAACCAGACTTAAAAGAAACTGAGTTTCATCATTCATGAGCATCTATTAAGCCCCGTATGGGATTTATGGAAGCTGACTTTCATTGGGGATCACATGCAGTCACTTTCTTGGGATCTTAGAGAGGCACCGTGACTTTCACTGGGGTCCTAGAGATCTTCAGTGATTTTCTCAGGGTGCTGGAGAGGCACCATGACTTTCACTGGGGTCCTAGGGAGTCACAGTGATTTTCTCAGGGTGCTGGAGAGTCACTGCAACTTTCATTGGGGTCATAGGGAGTCACAGTGATTTTTATTGGGGTCCTAAGGAGTCATTGATTTTCACTGGGGTTTTAGGACTTTCAATAGCACCCTAGGGAGTCACAAACTTTTACTGGGGTCCTATGGAGCTATGCTTACTCTCACTGGGTCCTGGAGAGTCACATTGACTTTCATTGGGATCCTAGGGAGTAATATTCATACACATTTGCAAACCTACCAATAAAATCTTAACAAACAACAAGATGTCAGATAATCAATATAAGCACTCCTATGAATTGGGTGCCAAACTTCAAGATCTGAAGCCAATAGAAAATCTGTTTAGTCCAAATTTATCAAAATGAAAACAATGCAAAAATACATCAAAAGCAAAATGTTGCATCCACATTTTGAAAGGAAAATTGTACTCAAAAATATGTATTCTGTATTTGACAAACAGTTCATTAGACAAAACATTTTTTTGTTGAAGTATATAAATTTTGAAAAAAAAACAACTTAGGAATTTGTTTCAGCTATTAGAACAGAATTATAGAGCTTTTATAATACTAATTTAAAAACGCAATTCAAAAACAAAGATTGCAGTGTTTGAAGATGTAGATTCTCAGGAGGCAACAGTACTGTTCACTTCTCTCTCCACTGGACATCAACTAACTATTTGAGTTGATTTGCATACAAAGCAGAGCTTGCAACATGATAGTTATTCCTAGAGGACGTTTTTTTTACTTTTCAAATAATACAGTAGTCACACAATGAATATAATAAGACAGTTCATATTTGTCTCAGTAAATCATTAATTTTTGACAGACACCTGTACAAAATACTTGGGCAAAAGCCAGCTAAGATTTTCCGTTATCTTGCATGGTTTATGAATCTATTCACATCTAAATGCAGCACTTTTTTTCTGAGATGAGGCATTTGTTTTTATACTAAAATATCTGAATAATTTTGAATAAAGCTAGAAATTATGTCCCTTAAAATAACTAAACAAATTAGGGACCAATGTTTTTGTAAGATATTTACATCAATCAATCGATAGACTGCTTTCTCACTGCAGTTTCAATTCTAAAACTTGTTTGTATTCAAAAATAATTATAACAATGCATATTCATATTGAAACAAACTATGATAAAAAGAAATAATATTAAATAACAAAGGGCAAGGTCACCAGAGTTCAACTATGTTTATGATTTTTTCCCACACATTTTGATTAACACCTGTTACCAATGGTAATGTCTATTCATTTAGACCAGAGCTTGATGTAGTTGTAGGAAATGCATAAAAATGGGAAAACTATTGCACCATTGTTTTGGCAGGATAATAATGTATTTCAAAGGGGCATATGACGTCACCATGTCATTTTTGCAACATATAAAACAAATGTAAAATACTGTGTTTTTTTTCACAAAAATTTGAACTAGCGCGACTTGCCGCTGGGTTTTAATTGTCTCTGCCCCATTGGAACATCGTTTGCTTACAGTTTGCAGTTCATTTTTTTTTTACAGATTGCTACAGAAAGGATTATTCTATCGAGCCGTTAAAGTATTCAAAGAGAAGAAGGAGAAAGATAAAGAGAAAAAGGAAGCAAAGGAGAAAGGAGATGCTGGTGAGAAAAAAATAAAGAAAAAGAAAAAAGAAAGAAAGGTGAGAACTGATGTGTTTTGCAGGAGGGACTTATTACTACTTTTCCCTGGATGCTTTAGTTGTCAGTATGACAATTGTAAATTTGTAGGTCTTGATAAAATAGTTTTGTTTGTAAACATTAACAAAATTTCCATAAAAAACCATAAATAGGAAAAGTTCGGTCGATTTTTGGTGATCACATTTGTAAAACTTGTTCCTACACAATTAATACACATACTTCAACATACGTTACTGAGCAGTAAGTTGATACAACATCAAATGATTTTTCCATATTAGCTTAGACAATCTATTCCCATATTTTGCAGGAAAATGAAGACACTCCTACAGGAAAGAAATTAAAAGAAGTTAAACGAAAATTTAAATTAGAACCACATGATGAACAGATATTTATCGATGGCAGTGATGTAAGTGGGAATCTCAATTCTTTGTGTTTACTTTTTAAGAAATAAAGTTACGTGAAGTAAACATTATGCATATGAAAAGCTGTACATAACTTGTTTCCATGGAAACAAAGACAGTAATTTCCCTGTCACTTTAAATCTATGGTGGCCATTTTGAATTGAAAACTGATCAGAATAAGAAAAATTTAAAAACTAGTTTAGGTATTCCTCAGAATTTAATTTTTTAGTGATTAGCAAGACATGATGCTCATCTCAACGATAACAGTGAGAATATTTGTAGCTTTTAAATGGTTTTAGTCAGCAGTAACGCGATTGTTAGAACTAAAGATAAAGTGTGGAACCTATAACTGATAGATGGTACAGCAGTTTGCATGTTCTCTTGCACCAGGGATATTCTTGGTTCTATTGTCGACCCTACCTATTCAGTCACTGAAAAACAAATAGGTGTAACTGTAAAATACTTTTTTTTGCTTGGAATGTATTTTCCTTATTTTCGCTAATTCAGTGAATATACCTTTGTTCTGTATTTTACATTCAACTCTTCGAAAATTAGTTGAAATAAATTCCATACAAATACCCAAAAAATAATTGAAAGTATTTTACAGTATTTTACAATGTCTTCATCTATTGATGCTTTTTTTTTACAGGCATATGTATGGGTATATGATCCTACTCATCCAAAAACGTTTATAATGGGACTTCTACTTGGTATGTCAATTTCATTCATAGAAGCTTTTCTGATTTCTTGTACATTGAAATGATTTTATGGTAATCTTTAAGAAGTGTGCATAAAATCCATGTGGGGACCTAAGCATAGTGTTAGAGTTTAATTCTGAGTGCATATGAATTTAAAACATTATTACAGAATGTTTTGTACAGAAACCACATAATTATATAGAGTACAACAAATTTTGAACCAGTGAATATATCGGCATTCAATACTAAATAAATATACTACAAGGTTATTATGAGAATTTATAGAGGAGATCTGTGTGATTGTTTTAGATGCATGATTTGTCGTAGTCTTCTAATAAACGTATTAGGTAAACAGAAACATTTTTCTGACTTCAGAATTCACCTGTACTCGTATAAAAATCTTTAAATTTTTTATTGAAGTCCTAGATTCCTTCAGTCAGCAAGCTAATCCAATATTTTGGAATTCCATTTTGACTCAAGATCTCTACAAAATCTGTTCTTTCAATTTGTTTGTGTTTGTTTTTATTACACAGTGATTGGTGCTGCAGCCGTGTGTTTATTCCCCTTATGGCCGTGGTGGATGAGACTTGGTACCTACTATATCAGCTTAGTGGCAGCATGTCTTGTTGGCGGTATACTTGTCTTAGCTTTGTGTAAGTGCCACTAGAAATCTCATTAAAAGAAGTATCATTTTGATATGATGACATTTCTTGATAATAACTTTGCTACATATTGTGTCAGTTTGGTTTGGAAGTGAGCAAAACAAAAAAAATGGGTCATTTATTCCGCCATTTTCAGTTACACCAACGGCACTACTTTACATATCAATACACTCGGGTGATCAGATGACATATAACATCATTACAAAATTATGTATTCTGCAAGCATGCAATAAAGTAGTCCCAAAAACGTCACAGGCAAATTAAAGGAATATGCATTCGGTTTCAGTGTTAACAAAATTATTAGCCATAATTCAGTTAATTGTGAAATATTGAAAAGGGTGACATGCTATGGTTGGTATAGCAATGGTTCCGCATTATTTTGGTTCGAATAGGGCTTTGTCTATCAGTATACATGGTAGTGTTGATGTACTGGCTGAACCCTAACGCTGCGGTGCAAATCTCTTTGCAAAATGAGTCAAATCAATTAGTTTGCTAATTAGGTAGCAAATTTGATGGCCATGTTGCGAAACTGTAGTTCCATGCACACATGGCCCACCAAGAATTGTTATTTTATAAAATCGGTATGGGCAGCTTTTTATTTTTATTCTGATATTGTCATTAGATTTGTGATTTTTGATGAAAACTTTATTTTTATATAATATTTTTTTTGACAAAAAATCCATAATAATCTATATCAGATGTAATACACATACCTCTAACAAATGCACAGTGACCACAAATGTGAAAACAAATTCTCTTGATCTTAGAGCATTAATGATGCCATTTACTTGAATTAAACTAAATATTTTGCATATGATTTCCTTCTACAGTCAGATGTATTTTGTTTGTGTTCATATGGATCTTCACGATGGGAAAGCATCACTTCTGGCTCCTACCAAACCTTATGGCGGATGTTGGAATTTTAGAATCATTTAAACCGTTCTACACCCACGAAGTTTCCACCACAGAAAAAAATAAAGACGACACTGATGCCAAAAATAAAAAAGAAGAAAAACAGAATGAGGAAAATCAAGAAGAGGAAGAAAAAGAAAGCGGGCAAGATTCTGACGATGAAGCTGAGCAAAAAGACGAAGATGACGACGATGCAGATAAAGATGTTTCTGAAAAAGAAGAAACAGACACAGCCTCAAAAAATGAAAAAGAGAATATCAATGGAAGTAAAAACGGGGAAGGTTTTGAAGTTATTCACCAAGAAGAGATTTCAGCAGCTACAGAAGACATGGAGGAATCAGACTCTCAGCAATCGTGATAAAATTAATGATCTAGTTTGCATTCACATTAAAGTCGTCTTGTTTGTCGACAGAAAACTTGTTGGTTATTTTACAAGTACATTATTACATTGCTCTTTATTTAATAACCCTTTAAATGTCAGTCAACTTTAATCACTTTTCATAATATAAAAACAATATTTTTCACAAAATTCTGATCATGATCTGATCAAAAAATACATAAAAAAATGCACCAACAAAATTTCAATAGGAAAACGTGTGGCTTCCATGGAAACAAAGACGATAGAGATGTGGCTTTTATTCACATTTTATGTACTATCTTGCATTCCAGGTTTCTTTTATTTCCTACACACTTTCACATAATGTTGAATAATTCTGCATTTACAGATCATCAAGCTCATCATTTGCCAATGCTAACCTTGTGGCAGTGCGCCTCTACAGGTGGAATTATAAGTAACTGGCATTTGGAGAGTGATTCCTTCCAGGACATCTCACTGTACATTTTGTATTTTTCTTTTAATATTTGACCTTTGACCACCACCCCCCCCCCCCCCTTCACTGCCAAATATTTACCCTATGTCAAGGAATGCAATTTTTTTTTTCTGCAATGTCAGTGTTGAATTTTGACAATTTGGAAAATATTGATTAACATTTGTGATGGAATACTTTCATGTTTATTTGTTACGAAAGTGTGATCTTCAGAATATGATACAAGAAAATTTGTCAACTGTATTTTTTCTTGTGTATACTTTAATGATAAGTTGATTTGAAAATAAGACAACAACACGAAAAGAAAGCTTATTTACAGTATGTTGTAAACTTGAGAATCATTTTTTTTGTTTGAAAGTTGAGTATAGTGGTTAAAGGGATAAGGTAGAAATGTACTATTTGGGGGACAATGTGGAAATCACAATATTTGTAGTTCTAGCTATAGTGTAACTGTTTATTATGGTGAGTGAGCGTTACATTCTGTTGTATGATTACAGAAAAGAAACTATGAGAACTATTATAAAGCTTTATTTTATTTGAAAACACAGATTTTAAATGTAATTAGGAATGGTGATGGTTTGTAATTTGTTCTGCCAACAAATTCTATGACTTGAGATTACGTGATTTGAAACCTGAATGATAGAACCCTAACAAAATGACTGCTATTACTGTATTGCAATTACTTTGTTAGTTATGCATGTGTTTACGTAAATGACAGTGTATCTGTGGTTAAAATTAGTCATATTTTAATGATTCAGTAATAATTAAATAAATGTAGTTTTTGTATTGGAGATGCAGTTAATGCAAATAACGTAATTCTAAACTGATCATTTTCTCAAAAAAAATATTATGGTGACTTCATTATGTTTATGCCAACATATTTTTCTATTGGATGATACACATGTGATCTTTCAGGCTGCATATCAGCTGTTGACTGGTTGGAAAGAAACTGCCGATCACATCTTAATGCATTCTGGTTGAGGTTGATTAACCAAGTTTCATGAAAATCTTAAATTGTTAATGCTTTATGAATAGATTTATTGCTATAAAAAGTCATCTAGAAGGGGAAAAATGGGGTTATAAACCATATTACCAGGAAATTGTGTTATTTTACTTTGAGTAATACACAGAAGTTATGAAATTTTTGAAACTCACTACAAAACATTTATAAAATGGGGGGGGGGGTGCATAGACACGATTTAATGACACCGGTATCCGGTACTTCTGTTAGTTGTTTGTTGTATGGTAATACATTGGTGATTGAACCTTACCTTGCGTGAAAATTGCTGCATGTCCACTTAAAACCTCATTCATCACACAGATTCTTTTTACGTATTTAAAATTTCAAAAATGAATCAAGTTTACCGGTAATGCTACTTTGACTGTAAAAAGCAAAAATGAAACATTACTGTAAAATACTTAATTTTCACTTGGAATTTATTTTTGCTATTTCTGTTGAAAGGATAAATCAGTAAAAATAAAGTCAAGTGAAAATACTTCTTTTCCTATGCTCTATACTCAGAAAAAATCAGTGAAAATAAACTTCCTCAAAACAACTAAAACGTCTTTTCAGCAAAAATTAATTCCAGCTAATTAAAGTGTTTTACAGTAAAACATCTTTGGTAAAAACAAAAGTGGGAAATGTTACACTAGAGGTCGCTACTTACATGAGGTGTACTATATTAGGTCTAATAGAAGAGCATTTCATTGGATCCAACGATCATTAAAATATGACTTATGTCAACCATTGATACACCTCTGTTATTTACTAAAGTGCATGCTCTACTAATATAGCAAATACAGTATTGCGATTGTGAAATGTTGGATTGAAATATCTTCAATGAACTAATTGTAGACATATTTAACCATAGACAGACGTACCATGCTGTTAAAAGCTTTTATGAGATGTATTTATGGGATATTCAAACAAACGTTGTCAGGAAACATCTTATTTACTGATACAAGTCTTAAATTTCAGCTTGTACATACAAATTTGTAATTTCTCCCATTTCAATTTACAAAATGTGGAAATCAATTCTTGGTCAATTTTTTTCACTTCTGTCCATGCGTAGCAGTACAAACAAGATGCACTTTAAATATGTTCTGTACATAGCACTGTGAGAGTTAATAAAGTGCACGTGTTATAACCCTCTGACATTATTTCATCCGTAGAATTGACCAAATTGACGAGAGAGAGAGAAAGAGACTATGATGCCAACAAATGCTGTAATATGATTTAATTATTAGTGAATAGGTGCATCAAATATGTTTTATTGATATTCAAGAAGGTTAAGTTTACTACATTGTTTTAAATATTTCTTTTAAGTATTAAAGCAGAAAAAACATACTACATACAATTGTGCCTTGTTTTTGACTCCCGTGTGCGGAGCACACAATGGGAGTCTTTGCAGTTA